TTTCTTTCTTCTTTCTTTCTCTCTCTCTCTCTTTCTTTCTTTCTTTCCTTTCTTCCCTCTTTCCTTCCTTCCTTCCTCTTTCTTTCTCTCTCTCTCTCTTTCTTTCTTTCCTTTCTTTCTCCCTTCCTTCCTCCCTCCCTCCCTACCTCCCTCCTTCCTTCCATTCCTTCCTTCCTTCCTTCCTTCCTTCCTTTCTTTTTCTTTCTTTCTTTCTTCTTTTTTTTTTTTTTGAGATAAAGTCTTGCTCTGTTGCCCAGGCTGGAGTGCAGTGGTGTGATCTCAACTCACTGCAATCTCCGCCTCCTGGGTTCAAGCGATTCTCCTGCCTCAGCCTCCTGAGTAGCTGGGATTACAGGCATGTGCCACCACACCTGGCTAATTTTTGCATTCTTAGTAGAGACAGGATTTCACCATGTTGGCCACGCTGGTCTCAAACTCTTGACCTCGTGATCCGTCTGCCTTGGCCTCCAAAGTGCTGGTATTACAGGTGTGAGGCACCACGCCTGGCTGCTGTTTTGTTTTTCTACTCAGCTATTTATAGGTTATGCCTTTAGAATTGTTAATGTAGCCAGCCACTTTACAGTGTCATTTTGCTGGCTAGGGACCCTTCTGTTTAAGGTGATTTTGTATAGCACTGACCTAGTATGAATGTGAGTTTGAGATTTTAACTCAGAAGGCAAGCCTACTTTCCCTGTTGAAATGCTTGGAAGTAAATCATCGTGGCCAAAGCGTCCACTGAACAACATAAATGTGGTTGAATACCCTAAAAATCCTGATGTGAAGGGGTGTGGGTGAAGCGTGGGTCACGTGATTGCATCACCCGCAGATGCTGTCATCCTGTTGTGGAAGGTGAATGATAACAAGGAGCCGGAGCAGACCGCTTTTCAGGATGAGGACGAGGCCCAGCTCAACAAGGAGAACTGGACAGTTGTGAAGACTCTGCGGTAACCTGGGAAGGACCATGGCAGTGATCTCTGTTCATGATGAATGCATTACATGGAATACACCTTTTGACTTTTTTTAATCTTTTTTTTTTTTGAGACGGAGTCTTGCTCTGTCACCCAGCTGGAGTGCAAAGGTGTGATCTCAGCTCATTGCAAGCTCTACCTCCTGGGTTCACATGATTCTCCTGCCTTAGCCTCCCAAGTAGCTGGATTTACAGGCATGTGCCACCACACCCATCTAATTTTTTGTATTTTTAGTAGAGACGGGGTTTCGCTGTGTTGGCCAGACTGTTCTTGAACTTCTGACCTCGCGATCCGCCTACCTCCACCTTCCAAAGTGCTGGGATTACAGGCATAAGTCACCACGCCCGGCCTTTTTCTTTTCTTTTGAGATAGGGCCTCATTGTCGCCCAGGCTGGAGTGCAGTTGTGTGATCGCAGTACCCTGCAGCCTTGACTTGCTGGGCTCAAGTGATCCTCTCACCTCCCAGATAGCAGGGACTACAGGTACACGCCACCACGGCCTACTAATTTTTAAATTTTTTGTAGAGACAGAGTTTCACTATGTTGCCCAGGCTGGTCTAATTTAGAAGTTTTATTTATGTGAACCAGTCCTAAGATGACAGTTTTAAAGGATGAAAGCATAATTAAAGTGGATTTTCTTAGTTTCCCAACCTCAGGTGATCTTCCCTCCTTGGCCTCCCAAATTGCTGGGATTACAGGCATGAGCCACTGTGCCCGGTGAAAGTAGTTTTTTAATAACTATAGCTAATATGGTGCCAGTGGAAATTTTGGAATCTCATTTTAATGCGTAGTTCCAGAGTTTGCCTTTATATTTTTGAAAACTTGTCCCTTTTTGAGTTAATAATTGCTTTTTTTTGTTATTTTTTATTTTTTTATTTTTTGAGATGGAGTCTTTCTCTGTCACGCAGGCTGTAGTACAGTGGCGTGATCTTGGCTCACTGCAACCTCTGCCTCCTGGGTTCTGGGGATTCTGCTGCCTCAGCCCCTGAGTAGCTGGAACTACAGGCATGCACCAGCACGCCTGGCTAATTTTTATATTTTGAGTAGAGATGGGGTTTTGCCATGTTAGCTAGGCTAGCCTTGAATTCCTGACCACAGGCAGTCTGCCTACCTTGGCCTCCCAGAGTGCTGGGATTACATGCATGAGCCACCACACCCAGGCAGTAATTGCTTTTTTCCTCTTTGTTTTTGGATTCTAGGGGCCACTTAGAAGATGTGTATGATATTTGCTGGGCAACTGATGGGAATTTAATGGCTTCTGCCTCTGTGGATAACACAGCCATCATATGGGATGTCAATAAAGGTAAATGGTATGTTTTGTTATTATCAGCAGGAAGAAATATTCTAAGTGTCTGTAAAAGCCTAAAAACCTAACTTGCTTTAACTGTTTTTTTTTTCTTGAGACAGAGTCTTGCTTTGTCGCCCAGGCTGGAACACAGTGGGGTGATCGTGGCTCATGGCACCCTCTGTCTCCTGGGTTCAAGCGATCCTCCTGCCTCAGTCTCTTGAGTAGCTGGGACTGTAGGTGTATGCCACCACATCCGGCTAATTCTTGTATTTTTAGTAGAGACGATTTCATTGTGTTAGCCAGGCTGGTCTCAAACTCCTGACCCCAGGTGATCTGCCCGCCTTGACCTCCCAAAGTGCTGAGATTACAGGTATGAGCCATTGCCCCTGGCTCTGATTTGCTGTAACTTTTTTTATTTTTATTTTTTTGGAGACGGAGTTTTGCTCTATTCCACGCTGGAGTGGAGTGGCATGATCTTGGCTTACTACAACCTCTGCCTCCAGGTTCAGGAGATTCTCCTGCCTCAGCATCCCCAGTAGTTGGGATTAAAGGTGTGGGCCACCAGGCCTGGCTAATTTTTGTATCATTAGTAGATACAGGGTTTCACCATTGGCCAGGCTGGTCTCAAACTTTTGACCTCAAGTGATCCACCTGCCTTGGCCTCCTAAAGTACTTGGATTATAGGCATGAGCCACCATGCCCAGCCTACTTGCTTTAACCTTAAAAGCAACACAACAAATTGTTTTAGTTAATTGAAGTAGATGGTTGGCTCAGCAGGATAGGGGTCAGTCCCATAAGCCATGGATCATCAGAGTGTAAGAGGCGTAGCAGCCTGTCATCTTACCTGCAGGCGAGTTACTGATGCTGAGGCCAGGCACATCCCACATGGTGGGGCCTGCAGGTAAGATGACAGGCCCAGGCCCTGCCTTTATGGAGGTTAGGATCTTGGGAAGATTAACAAGTCACTTATGATTTATAGGGCATGGCAGGCTGGTTGATGGGGTAGATGGGATCAGGTTTCCATTTCAGAAGATCAAGGAAAGCCGGGGACATTCTGTTCTCTAGCTGGGGAGACGGTAGACATGTAAAAAGTTATAGTGGTGTAAAAACAGCTGTGAAATGCCAAAAGCAAGCAGGGGCTGATTCCTAACCACTTTTATCCCCCACCGCCCTTTACTCAAACTTTGTTTTCTGCTAAGCCTCCTCCTGCCAATTCTACAACTCAAGTCCCTGGGGAGGGGAGTTGGTGTTGGCTGTCCCCCAGCATGGTGTCAGCCCAGTTCTCATCCGGTTTATAAAAATCTTTGCTTTTTTTAGTTCCATGCTGTCCAGCCAAGCCGTCCTCCATCCTGTCTTGTTTGTGTGCGTGTGTGTGTTTGTTTGTTTGTTTGAGACAGAGTGTCACTCAGTCGCCCAGGCTGGAGTGCAGTGGTGCGATCTTGGCTCACTGCAACCTCTGCCTTCTGGGTTCAACACTTCTCCTGCCTCAACCCCCAGAGTAGCTGGGATTACAGGCACCCGCCACCACACCCAGCTAATTTTTGTGTTTTTAGTGGAGACATGGTTTTTGGCCAGGCTGGTCCCGAACTCCTGACCTCAAGTGATCCACCTGCGTTGGCCTCCCAAAATGTTGGGATTACAGGCGTGAGCTACTGCGCCTGGCCAGGATTTTAGGTTTTATCTTGAATGTGATGTGTTGCTACAGAACCTCACCAAAAATCTCAAAAAAAAAAAGACCTGCCAGACACAGTGGCTCACGCCTATAATCCCAGCACTTTGGGAGGATTGCTTGAGCCCAGGAGCTCAAGACCAGCATGGTCAACATGGCAAAACCCTATCTACCAAAAAAATACAAAAATTAACTGGATGTGGTAGTACGGGCCAATAGTCTCAGCTACTCGGGCTGCTGAATCTCTTGAGCCTGGGAAATTGAGGCTGCATTGAGCTCTGATGGTGCCACTGCACTCCAGAACGAGACCCTGTCTCAAAAAAAAAGAAAAAGAAAAAAGGAATTGCCAAGGCTTCATAACTCCCTTGTCCTTTTAGGCAGGCCATCTCTGTGTGCTGAATATTTTCCAAGTCCGTTTTCTACCCCTGTTCACATTGCCTGCTCTGGGCCCTCCTCATCTTTTTCCTGGTCTACTCAGTCACCTCCTAACTAGTGACACTTTTTGTCATCTTCTAAACCTGTTTGAACTTTAAAATGCAGATGACTTCTCAGCGCGAATCCCCACAGCCCTTTCCTTACACACACGGTCTGTAATGTTTCTCCTTTCCTCTTTATCTTCTGTTCTTGGCCTTCCACTGTACCCATTAGCAGTTTTCAGTCACCTCTCACTGCTCCGTATTCACTTCACTAAGCTGTCTTTTTTTTCGGGATGGAGTTTTGCTCTTGTCGCCTGGGCTGGAGTGCAATGGTGCCATCTTGGCTTACTGCAACCTCTGCCTCCCAGGTTCAAGCAATTCTCCTGCCTTAGCCTCCCAAGTAGCTGGGATTACAGGCATGCACCACCATGCCCAGCTAATTTTTGTATTTTTAGTAGAGATGGGGTTTCACCACATTGGCCAGGCTGGTCTTGAACTACTGACCTCAGGTGATCCGCCCTCCTGCCAGCCTCCCAAAGTGCTGGGATTACAGGCATGAGCCACCTCGCCCGGCCTCACTAAGCTGTCTTAACCCCGTGGATTTCCTTAGAATACCTTCTTCCACCCTTCATCTCCTCCTCATCCTGCCTGACTTGGGGAACTGAACTTAGATCTCCTGAGACCCAGTGCCCTGTGCTATCAGCTCCCCCTCTTCTCCTGGTCCACATGTGTGATACTTGCTTGTTGATGGGTCTGTCTGATCTGTGAGCTCCCTGATGGTGGGGACTGCATGAAATCATCTTTGCAACCTCAGAGCCTGACACAGGGTTTAGTACGGAGTCTCTCACTTATGCCCGCTGAGTGATACATGGTAAAAGGGAATAATATTTATGTCACAGTTTATACTATTTGGGCTCAAATAAGTTTTGATAATGCTATTTTGTGTGTGTGTTTTTTTTTGTAGGACAAAAGATATCGATTTTTAATGAACATAAAAGTTACGTCCAAGGAGTAACCTGGGACCCTTTGGGTCAATATGTTGCTACTCTGAGCTGTGACAGGTACATTCGGCTTTGGCAAGCTGTCTTTGTATTTACTTGGAATTTTCTGCAGAGAGATTTTTATCACAACTTAACCAAAATTTATCATAGTCTAGCTTTCATTCTTTTGTTCTTGCCTTTACACTCATTCTTATAATATGATCAGAAACTGGAAATTAATTAGGGCAAGTGCCTTACACGAAGTTTGTACTTAGTAAATCTTTTTTGTTTGTTTTCTGGAGACAAGAGTCTCAGTCTGTCACCCAGGCTGGAGTGTGGTGGCGCAATCTCAGCTCACTGCAACATCTTCCTCCTGGTTTTAAGCGATTCTCCTGCTTCACTTTCCCTAGTAACTGGGATTACAGGTGTGCACCACCACACCCCGTTAATTTTTGTGTTTTTAGAGGGACAGGGTTTCACCATGTTGGTCAGGCTGTTCTCGAACTCCTGACCTCAAATGATCGGCCTTCCATGGCCAATGTGCTGGGATTACAGGCATGAGCCACCACGCCTGGCCTGTAATATTCTTTAGGTTGCTAATATTCACTTCCTTCATAATTATCCAGTTGTGAATATCACTGGCAAAAGCTTTTGCAGGCTGAAAATTGCAGTGGTAATAATTGGCTGTTGGTAATAAGTTGTTTCTGTGTGAAGCATAATTCGTGTACTAGAAGTGGTAAATCAATGTGTTCTTTCTTCAGAGTGCTGCGAGTGTACAGTACACAGAAGAAGCGTGTGGCTTTTAATGTTTCGAAGATGCTGTCTGGAATAGGGGCTGAAGGAGAGGTACACAATATTTTGCCATTCTTTTTCAGCAGCACTTTATTAGAAAGTCATGAGCTCCTTCTATACCCTTGTGGCCAAATCACTGGCCTCAAGCACCCCATTCCTGAACTATAATAAGGCTTTCTCTTGGACAGTAAAGGCTCAGTTAGTGTGGCGGGCTAATCTGTATAGAAATGGGGACATCTGGAGACCAAGGGAGAGCCACCGATGGAGGACAGGACAGTGGTTTTCAACCCTGGCTGCACTGTAGAATCACCTGGGAAGCATTACAAATATGGGTGCTGGCCAGGCGTAGTGGCTCACGCCTGGAATCCCAACAGTTAGGGAGACTGAGTTGGGCGGATCACTTGAGGTCAAGAGTTTGAGACCAGCCTGGCCAACATGGCCAAATCCCATCTCAATGAAATACAAAAATTATCTGGGCATGGTGGTACATAGCTGTAATCCCAGCTACTCGGAAGGCTGAGGCATGAGAATCACTTGAACGTGGGAGGTGGAGGTTGCAGTGAGCTGAGATTATGCCACTACACTCCAGCCTGGATGATAGAGCAAGACTCTATTTGAAAAATAAAATAAGGCTAGGCGTGGTGGCTCACACCTGTAATCCTAGCGCTTTGGGAGGCTGAGGTGGGCAGATCACCTGAGGTTAGGAGTTTGGGACCAGCCTGGCCAACATGGTGAAACCCCGTCTCTACTAAAAATACAAAATTAGCTGGGCATGGTGATGCATGCCTGTAATCCCAGCTAGTGAGGAGGCTGAGGCAGGAGAATTGCTTGAACCCGGGAGGCAGAGGTTGCCGTGAGCTGAGATCGAGCCATTGCACTTCAGCCTGGGTGACAAGAGCGAAACTCAATCTCATATAAATAACTTAATTAATTAAAATAAAAATAAAAATATGGATGCCTTGGCCCCAGCCTGAGTGGTGTGATTCTCTTGGTTGGAGGTAGGCAGGGCCGCCATGATTCTCAGATGTAGTGAGGGCTGGTCACTACTGATCTGGGAAGATCCCTACACGAGGCAACAGAAGACAGGTGGTCCAACATTGGATCTGTCTGGCAGCATTCAGTTTACTACCTTGGCAGGTAGATAGAGAGCTTTGGTAGCAGACGGCAGAGAGGCAGCCAAAAAGCTGATATTTAGGCATAGGAAGGATTTTGACTTTGAAAGAATTGGCAAATGAAAATAGGACTCTAGTCCTAAAGGACTCAAGGCTACTGAGGCAGGCATTGAGGTACAGGGGAGTAAGCCAGTTACTGGCTCCACATGGGAACTGGGTGCAAATCCCTCCAAGGAAGCAGGGTAAGGCAGTGTGGGCTGGCCACTGACAGGCACTGAGAGGTCACACCTGCAAAGTAAGAATAGTAATGTCAGCTGGATGCAGTGGCTCACACCTGTAATCCCAGCAATTTAGGAGGTGAAGGTGGGCAGATCACCTGAGGTCAGGAGTTCCAAGACTAGCCTGGCTAACATGGTGAAACCCTGTCTTTACTAAAAATACAGAAATTAGCTGTGCATATGGCGCATGCCTATAGTCCCAGCTACTCCGGAGGCTGAAGCAGGGGAATTGCTTGAACCTGGGAGGTGGAAGTTGCAGTGAGCTGAGATTGCGCCATTGCCCTCCAGCCTGGGCAACAAGAGTGAAATTCCATCTCAAAATAAATAAACAAATAATAAAAGAATAGTAATGCCTACTTCCTTGTGTTCTTAAGAATTAAATGCTTGCTTGTTTGTTGAGACAGTGTCTGACTCTGTCTCCCAAGCTGGAGTACAGTGGTGTGATCTTGGCTCACTGCAACCTTTGCCTCCCAGGTTTAAGTGTTTCTCCTGCCTCAGCCTCCTGAGTAGCTGGGATTAGAGGAGTGTGCCACTATGCTTAGATAATTGTATTTTTAGTAGAGACGGGGTTTTGCTATGTTGGCCAAGCTGGTCTCGAACTCCTGGCCTCAAGTGGTCTGCCTGCCTCAGCTTCCCAAAGTGTTGGGATTACAGGTATGAGCCATCATGCCCAGCACATGCTTGATGTTTATAAAATGTCAATAAATAATAGTAAGACCTGTGCTAGAGAGCTGTTCACGAAATGTTGTTTGGAAAGATTAATGGTAGCCAGTTTAATAATCCACTATTTTCTTTTTTAAAAGGATACATTTATTAATAGCTGGAGGTCGTGGCATGTTCCTATAGTCCCTGCTACTCAGGAGGCTGAGGTGGGAGGATTGCGTTGAGCCCAGAAGTTCTAGATTGCAGTGACCTATGATTGCGCCACTGCACTCTAGCCTGGGTGACAGAACAAGACGCTGTCTCTAAATAAATAGGCTGGGCGTGGTGGCTCATGCCTATAATCCCAGCACTTTGGGAGGCCAAGGCGAGTGGATCATGAGGTCGAGAGATGGAGACCACCCTGGCCAACATGGTGAAACCCCATCTCCACTGCAAATACGAAAATTAGCTGGGCCTGGTGGCACGTGCCTGTAGTCCCAGCTACTTGGGTGGCGGAGGCAGGAGAATTGCTTGAATCTGGGAGGTGGAGGTTGCAGTGAGCCGAGATTGCGCCCTTGCACCCCAGCCTGGCGACAGACAAAGACTCCATCTCAAAAAATAAAAAAATAAATAAATAAAAATAAATAAATAGAGTGCATTCAGTTGGAAATTCTAAATGAATCCACGCCATAGAAAGCAAAGGTCTCCTGGTCATCTTCCCTCTGTCTCCCAGTCTCAAGACCCAGTTGACCCACTGTTGACCCTGTGGTTTGTGTTCTTAAGAGTTTTAAAAAATAATTTTAGAAGCACATAAAACACCCATATATACATACAGCTTTACCTAACAAAAATGTGTAGTCAGTTTTCATGAATGATTACCCTTGCAGTGTTGCACAGTTACTTGATTTAAAATATATTTCAGTTTGATTTATGATTATGTCAACAGTAAATGACACTATAAAGAAAACCATAGGAACATACAGCATTTGGGAAGCCTTTATTGTGAGTGTGAAGATTTGGAAAAATGTTTAAACTTTGTGTGTATAGAAGAAACAAACAAACCAAATAATAAAAAATAATAATAAAAATAAATTTTATGTGCGGCAGGCAAGAAGCTACCGGATGTTTCACGACGACAGCATGAAGTCGTTCTTCCGAAGACTGAGTTTCACTCCTGATGGATCTTTGCTCCTCACGCCAGGTGTGTTTTGTAGCTTCGGATTTAAGGAAATGATGGCCAAGCAGGAATGTCTGCTCCTGTTTTACACTGCTTATCAGCTCAGTGAATGCTGATCAGAGCAGGGGTCCCCAGCTTGCAGGGGTCCCCAACTTGCCTGCCCATTGGAACCTCCAGGGAAGCTTCAAAAAAACCCTGGATCCTATGTCCCACCCCCAGAGTAGTGTAATTGGTCTGGGTGGCCTGGCTTTTGGAATTTTAAAAAGATTTCCAAGTGATTCTCATGTGCAGGCAAGTTTGAGAGTTATGAGATTAAAGTGATAAGCATTTTCTCTTAGATAAATTTAACTTTTGGCTGGGCACGGTGGCTCATGCCTGTAATCTTAGCACTTTGGGAGGCCAAGGTGCGCGGATCACCTGAGGTCAGGAGTTTGAGACTAGCCTGACCAACATGGAGAAACCCTGTCTCTACTAAAAATACAAAAAATTAGCGGGGCATGGTGGTGCATGCCAATAATCCCAGCTACTCAGGAGGCTGAGGCAGGAGAATCGCTTGAACCTGGAAGGCAGAGGTTATGGTAAGCCGAGATCATGCCATTGCACTCTAGCCTGGGGAACAAGAGCAAAGCTTTGTCTCATAAAAAAGGTCAGCCAAGTTTTATTGTCCCTAAAAAGGCGAGAGGCTCAGCCCAGCAAGATAAGGCCAGGTAGCATTGAGGCCAGAGTGCTCTCAGGGAACGATGCCTGCTCATCTCCATGGCTCCAGGACCATCCTGTGCATAAACATGACAACATCGACCAGGGTTGGGCCAAACGGGAGGGCACAGGGCAGGTTTGCCACTGGGTCCCATCCCAGCTGGGCCAGGGAGGGCCTGAGAAGCATATGAGTCACATATGCAGCCGTGTGGGTGAGGCTTTAAAGAACACTGTGGAACATGTGGGAATGATACTTTGGCTTAGGAAGTCTCAGGATCAAGAAAAACTAGTTGTTTAGGTTATTTCCTAAAGTTAGTTATTAAACATTTATCATTAAAAGTTACTCACTAAAGCCAGTAATAAATTCTTTTAATATATATTTTTTAAACGGAGTCTCTGTCACCCAGGCTGGAGTGCAGTGGCATCATCTTGGCTCACTGTAGCCTCCAGCTCCTGGGTTCAAGCGATTCTGCTGACTCAGCCTCCTGAGTAGCTGGGATTACAGGCACATGCCACCATGCCCAGCTAATTTTTTTTATTTTTAGTAGATAATGGGGTTTCACTATGTTGGCCAGGGTGATCTTAATCTCTTGACCTCATGATCCGCCTGCCTCAGCCTCCCAAAGTGTTGGGATTACAGGCATGAGCCACTGCGCCCGGCCCCCCTTTTTTGTTTAATTGACAGATGAAATTGTATGTAGTTGTGTAGGACATGATGTTTTGAATTATATATATGTTGTGGAATGACTAAATCTGGCTAACCAGCATAGCATGATCTCACATAATTAGGATTTCTGTGGTGAGAACACTATATCTACTCTGTCAGCATTTTTTAGGAATGTAATACATTGTATGAACCATAATCACCATGTTGTGCAGGAGATGGATCTTGTGAAGGAAGACTCTATTGTTGAATGCATAGTGCTGGGGTAGCCAGCTACGTGGAGGAAGATAAAAGTGGACCCCTTGCCTCTATGTAAAAAACAAATTCCAGGTGAATTCAGTACTTAAACACAAAAGGTAAAAATAGATAACTCTTGTAAGGAAATGTAGGAGGACCCGATTAAGACTGGAAACCCAGACTCTCTTAAGGAAGTAATAGACCCATGTGACTGTATTCTATGACAGACGATACAGTGAGCAAGATCAGTGGACAAAGGATGGAGCTGGGAAATACGTGGTCTAGAGGAGAGAGGGCTCATATAGATCATCGACAATGAGCCCTTCCAAATTGATAACAAAAAAAAGAAAAACCCAAAAGAAAAAATGACTAAAGGATACAGAAAGAGCAAATCTCTTTCTTATATCTGTTCAGCAGATATAAGAAAAGGCTCTGAACTCAATAACAGGGAAATACAAAATATAGTGGCGTAAGAGTCAGATGCTTTTTTTAATTCCCTTCTGACTGGAACAAGCAATGCCGGTTGCTGATGGGCATGCAGAATGTGGGGATTGCTGGTGGGAATGTGAATTGTTCCAGTCGTTTTGGAAAGCAGCCTGGTAACAGCTGAATGCATGAACCTCCAGTCCATCTGTTCCACATCTGAGACCAATTCCTTTAGAAATGGGAGCGTAGTGTATAAGAGTGTACGTTTAAGGATGCTTATTGCAGGCATTGTTTATAGCGGTAAAAAAACAAAAGGAAAGAAATACTCATTAACAGAGATTGGGTGGATGAATCTTGCAGTCAATATTACATGCAGCTATAAGAAAAGAATGCATCAGTGCTATGCAAGTTAACTTTCATGAGTAGTTGACTGAGACAAGCAAAATAAGGAAAAGCATCAGTAATACCCTGTTTTGTAAAACAAATGGACTCAATAAAAAGCCATCATAGAGGTATATATGTCATTGAGTTATAGCTGGTTGTAATGAGTATGTGAGCGTGGAGGAAATGTACAGATCACAGAATGGTGTGTCGAATGTTGAGAGGGATTTCTTGGGGATGGAAGAAATGGAGTGGGATGAAAAGATTGGGCCGGGCGCAGTGGCTCATGCCTGTAATCCCAGCACTTTGGGAGGCTGAGGTGGGCAGATCACTTGAGGTCAGGAGTTCGAGACCACCCGGGCCAACATGGTGAAACCCCATCTCTACTAAAAATGCAAAAATTAGCCGGACATCATGGCGGGTGCCTGTAATCCCAGCTACTCAGGAGACTGAGGCAGGAGAATTGCTTGATCCTGGGAGGTGGAGGTTGCAGTGAGCCAAGATCGTGCTGCTGTACTGTAGCCTGGGTGACAGAGTGAGACTCCATCTGAAAAGGAAAAACAAAAAGAGGGTAGCTATGTAGAATGTATTAATAAAAAGACTACTGATACTGTCTACTGCCCTCCCTAGTGTATGTGAAATGGTCATATGTAAAGTTACGTGTGTGTATATGTATCAAGAAATATGAACATAAAACAGGGAGATGTTTCCAAGAGCAGCCATGTTTGATGGTCACTCTGACAGGACTGAACTGTTTTAATACAGCATGGGTGAGTGGAGAAGAGCTCTCAGATGGGGGCTGTTCCCCACAACAAAGTCAGGCCCTGAAGGAGGCTGGAGGTTTCGGCAGAGGGTGAGGTCTCCTGGCAGCCTCATGGCTGGATAAGGCAGTCGGGGACAGGCAGTCTCATCCTTTGGATGGCAACCGAGGCTGGAATCCAGGGAATAGAGATGGGTCCTAACCGGGAGCTTGGGCAGCTGGATCTAGTCATGGTGCTTCAATCGAGGAACTGCCTGGAGGCTCAAAGATGCCCTATGGCAAGGGCTCCCTATGTTCTTCCAGCCCACAATCAGAACCAGGTCCCCAGGGGCAGCCCACAGGTAGGTGGAGATGCCTGGTGGGTCGAACTGGAGTAAGGGCTGAGACCAGACAGTGCCAGAATTTTTTTTTTTTTTTTTTTTTTTTTGAGACAGAGTCTCGCTCTGTCACCCAGGCTGGAGTGCAGTGGCGTGATCTAGGCTCACTGCAACCTCTGCCCTCTGGGTTCAAGTGATTCTTGTGCCTCAGCCTCCCAAGTAGCTGGGATTACAGGTAGGCACCACCACACCCACTTATTTTTAAGTTATTAGTAGAGATGGGGTTTCACCATGTTGGCAAGGATGGTCTCATTCTCTGACCTCGTGATCCACCCACCTCGGCCTCCCAAAGTGCTGGGATTGCGTGAGCCACCGTGCCTGGCCGGGAATATTTGCTTTTGTTCTCAGTCACAACACTGTCCAGAGAATATACCTTTAGGGGAACAGTTTTGCAAATCAAAACTGAAGGCTCTTGAGCTTCTGTTGGTGAACAGCTTGCTAAAGCAGTGACTCTTCTTTCCTCTCCTTCCCTTCCCTGCTCCCAGCTGGATGTGTGGAATCCGGTGAAAATGTAACGAATACCACTTACGTTTTCTCCCGGAAGAATCTTAAAAGGTATGCAGTTGAGGAAATACTTAACATGTTTACTCTGTTTTTTAAGATGGAGTTTCGCTTTTGTTGCCCAGGCTGGAGTGGAATGGCATGATCTCAGCTCACTGCAACCTCGGCCTCCCAGGTTCAAGTGGTTCTCCTGCCTCAGCCTCTTGAGTAGCTGGGATTCCAGGTGCCCGCCACCACCCCAAGCTAATTTTGGTATTTTTAGTAGAGACAAAGTTTCACCACGTTGGCCAGGCTGGTCTCGAACTCCTGACCTCAGGTGATCTGCCCGCCTCCTCCTCCCAAAGTGCTGGGATTATAGGCATGAGCCACTGTGCCCTGCTGAAATGTTTACCTTTTATTTTTGCTTTTGCTGAGTCACAGTGCCTTTTCCTAAAACTGCAATTCATCCATTAGGCCCGTCGCTCATCTTCCGTGTCCTGGAAAAGCCACTCTTGCTGTTCGCTGCTGTCCAGTCTACTTTGAACTGAGGCCGGTGGTGGAAACAGGTATCCTCAGAGCTTCAGGGGTGTGTTATGTTTTCTCTCTAAAACAGGTCACCAGAGTGGGGTGGCAGTTTGGATTTCGTCTTATGGGGAAAGGCGGGTATGTGGGTTTGGTTCAGTTTAGTTATTTTTAAACTATTTTATTTTATTTTTACATTTAAATCTATTTATGTATTTATTTTGAGGCCAGGTTATGAGGCTGGTTAATTTTCGTATTTTTGGTAGTGATGTAGTTTCAGCATGTTGCCAAGGCTGGTCTTTAACTCCTGGACTCAAGCAATCCACCTGCCTTGGCCTCCCAAAGTGCTGGGATCACAGGCATGAGCCACCGTGCCTGGCCCAGTTCAGTTATTCTTAAAAGCTGGAGCAAAGACTGAGGTTATAAATATACATGTCAATTTTTTTTCTTTTTTCAGGTTATATTTTCTTGCTTAAGGCACTTTAAAAGGAATAGCAGTAGTCTATTATCTATTGATAATCTCTGATTATCAATTTTCTTTCTTTCTTTCTTTTTTTGAGATGGAGTCTCACTCTGTCGTCCGGGCTGGAGTGCAGTGGTGTGATCTCAGCTCACTGCAACCTCTGCCTCCTAGGTTCAAGGGATTCTTTCACCTAGCCTCCAGAGTAGCTGGGATTGCAGGCGTATGCCACCACACCAGGCTAACTTTTCTATTTTTAGTAGAGATGAGGTTTTGCCATGTTGGCCAGGTTGGTCTCAAACTCATGACCTCAAGTGATCTGCCTGGTTTGGACTCCCAAAGTGCTGAGATTACAGGCATCAGCCGCCATGGCTGGCCATTTTCTTTATGTTTTCTTGTGCTTGTGGTTCATTGAACTTCATAGATCTATGGGTTTATCATTTTTATTTCGTTTGGGAAATTTCAGCCATTATTCCTTCAAATATTATTTCTGTCATCCCCTTCTCTTATTCAAATACTCCTGTTACACATATATTATATTAGGTCCTTTGAAATTATTTCCTGGCTTTTGATACTGCTTACTTTTTTTTTTTTTTTTGTCTTCCAGTGTTAGATTTTGGAAGTCTCTATAGCGGTGTTTTGAGTTCGGTATCCCCTTCTTCTGCACGTTCTGCCCTTGGTCCCATCCAGTGTGTTTTTTGTCGTTGTGGTTCTCATTTCTAAGAGGTTCACTTTGGGTCTTCCTTGTATATTCCCTGTCTCTCCATGCTCTATCTTTCCTCTTGCTTCTTTCTTTCTTCCCTTTTTTTTTTTTTTTTTTTTTGGTGAGAAGGAGTTTCATTCTTGTTGCCCAGGCTGGAGTGCAGTGGTGCAGTCTCGGCTCACTGCAACCTCTGCCTCCCAGGTTCAAGCTATTCTCCTGCCTCAGTCTCCCAAGTAGCTGGGATTACAGGTGTGCACCACCACGCCCAGCTAATTTTTGTATTTTTAGTAGACACAGGGTTTCGCCATTTTGGCCAAGCTTGTCTTGAACTCTTGACCTCAGGTGATGGCCCCCTCAGTTTTCCCTTGCTTCTTACGCATATAGAATGCAGTTGTAATAGCTCTTTTAATGTCCTTGTATACAGGTTGGATTTCATTTTTTTTCTCCTCATTATGGTTCATATCTTCCTGTTTCTTTGCTTGCCTGGTACTTTTTGGTTAGATACCAGACATTGAATTTTAATGTTGGATTAAAATTCAATGTCTGGTATCTTAATGGATGCTGATGTATTTTTACTCCTATAAAAATTTTTTTTTTTTTTTTGAAACAGAGTCTTGCTCTTCTGCCGCCAAGGCTGGAGTGCGGTGGCGCAATCTCAGCTCACTGCAACCTCTACCTCCTGGATTCAAGACATTCTCCTGCCTCAGCTTCCTAAGTAGCTAGAACTATAGGCATGCACCACCATACTTGGCTAATTGTCGTATTTTTAGTAGAGACAGGGTTTCACTCTGTTGGCCAGGCTGGTCTTGAACTCCTGACCTCAGGTGATCTGCCTCCCTCGGCCTCCCCAAGTGTTGGGATTATAGGTGTGAGCCACTGCATCTGGTCTATTCTTATAAACATTCTTGAGGTTTATTCTGGGATGCAGTAGTTACTTAGAAATATTTAGCTTCTTTTAGGTCTTATTTTTAAGCTTTGTTAGGCAGCGTTTAGTCTAGGGCTAATTTTCCCCACTCCTGAGGCAAAGCCTTCCATGTACTCTAATCTGGGCCCTGTGAAATATGAGGTTTTCTACTCCACCTGGGAAATACACACTGTTGGCCCTTTGTGGGCTTCGGGGATTATTCTTTCTGATGTTCTTCCTCCAGCCTCAGGTCTGCTCATGCATGCACAGATCAGCGCTCAGCCAGTGACCCCAGACGGACCTTGAAGGCCTCTGGAGCTCGCTCTCCATGGCTCTTGTCTCTGGCCCTCGCTCTCTGCGCTCTTGTCTCTGGTCCTCTGCCCTGTGACTCCAGCTGCCTTGGCCTTACTGGACTCCCAGCTCCGTCTTCTCAGCTCCGGGCATCTGCTGGGCTCTGCCTGGCTCCTCTGCCTTTACAAGGCCTGGAAACTCTCCAGGCAGTAAGTTGAAGAAATGGTAGGACTTAGCTCATTTAAGGATCACTATCCTTCATTGCCAGTGTTTTAAAAGATTGCCTGGTATTTTGGGATTTTTTCAGGTAGGAGGGTAAATCTGATCCCTTTTTCTCCAGGGCTGGAAGCAGAAGCTGTTTTTAAATTTTGATCCTTTATGTGAATGAATAAATAGCACTGGATACAATGTTGCTAAATAACTCTTGTATTTCCTTAAAGAAAGCAGCCTCTCAGATTAACTTGCCTCTGTCACATATCTTTTGTTTTCCCTGCTTTTCTGGCTCTTCTGTTCCCATGACTCTTGGTTCCTGGTACACTGTCCTCACTGGTTCATTCATGTTCTCTTTATTCATGTGGTCAGGTATAAATAATAACAAGACCTGAATTTTTTTGTAAAGCATGTGGTAAACTAGCTTTTTGTAAAACTGTGTCATTTAGGTCCCCCTGGAGAGAGGGCTTTGCTGGGGAATTAGTTATTTGTTTCCTTTAAGAGCTTTTCTATTTATTTACTTATTGAGGCAGAGTCTCACTCTGTCACCCAGCAAAGTGCAGTGGAGTGCAGTGGTGCGATCATGGCTCGCCTCAGCCTTAACTTCCTGGGCTCCAGCGATTCAAAGTACAGTGGAGTGCAGTGGTGCGATCGTGGCTCGCCTCAGCCTTAACTTCCCGGGCTCCATGATTCTACCACCTCAGCCTCCAGAGTAGCTGGGATTACAGGCTTGTGCTCCCAACCCTGGCTAATTTTTGTATTTTTGGTAGAGACAGGGTTTTGCCATGTTGCTTAGGCTGGTCTCAAACTCCTGAGCTCAAGCGATCCACCCGGCTCAGCCTTCCAAATTGCTGGGATTCTAGGTGGGAGCCACTGCGCCCAGCCAGAAGCCTTGTTTTTGCAGTTTTACTTTGTCTCTGTCCCCGACTCCCAGGTGTGGAGCTGATGAGTCTGCCCTACCGCCTGGTGTTCGCTGTGGCTTCGGAGGACTCCGTGCTTCTGTACGACACCCAGCAGTCCTTCCCTTTTGGTTACGTGTCTAATATACATTACCACACCCTCAGTGACATTTCATGGTGAGTGGCTGCTAAGAAGGGAGAGTGAGTGAAGGAGACCGTGGTGGTTACCCTGGAATAGACTCTGGGGTAAGGGAGTATTTTATTACTAAAGATGGCTTTGGGGGCCATAGTCACCTATTTTGCTTCTTTTTTTTTTTTTTGAGACAGAGTCTCACTCCGTCACCAGGTGCCAGGCTGGAGTGCAATGGCGCGACCTCGGCTCACTGCAACCTCTGCCTCCTGGGTTCAAGCAATTCTCCTGCCTCAGCCTCCCGAGTAGCTGGGATTACAGGCGTGCGCCACCACGCCCAGCTAATTTTTTTGTATTTTTAGTAGAGATGGGGTTTCACCATGTTGGCCAGGATGGCCTCAATCTCTTGACCTTGTGATCTGCCCGCCTCAGCCTCCCAAAGTGCTGGGATTACAGGCTTGAGCCACCGCGCCCGGCCCTATTTTGTTTCTTATTTGTTTTTTATTTATTTTTTTGAGACTGAATCTCACTCTATTGCCCAGGCTAGAGTGCAGTGGTATGATCTCGTTTCACTGCAACCTCCACCCTCAAGTTCAAGCAATTTTCATGCCTCAGCCTCTCAAGTAGCTGGAATTACAGGTGCACACCACTACACCTGGCTAATTCTTCTGGTTTTAGTGGAGACGAGGTTTCGCCACATTGTCCAGGCTGGTCTCAAACTCCTGGGCTCAAGCGATCCTCCCACCCCGGCCTCCAAAGTGCTGGGATTACAGGTGTTTACCTGGGATTACCACGCCTGGTCCAATTTTGTTTTTTAAAGAATCAATATTAAAAGGAAAGCCATTTCTGGTTTGCCACAATACTTGCTGCTTATTTTCACACTGGTGGGTTTTGATGGCATTCAGATGGCCCTGTGGGGTTAACTGGGCTCTGATAAACTGAAGGGAGGCACTATGAACTCCCTGACCGTTTGGGAACTCCTCAGGCCCTCTGGGAGGAAGCCCTTCCCTGCATGCCCCTGCTGCCCAGGATAGGGAAGTGCCCCGAGCTGGGCCTGTCAAGAGGATGTCACTCATCACTGCCCTTCTGCCACCTTTCAGTCAGCCCCCACAGCCTGCTTGGCCCAGGGTGAGTTTTTTGTATTTTTTTTTTTGAGATGGGAGTCTTGCTCTGTCACCTAGGCTGGAGTGCAGTGGCACAATCTCAGCTCACTGCAACTTCCGCCTCCTGGTTTCAAGCAATTCTCCTGCTGCCTCAGCCTCCCGAGTAGCTGGGACAGGCATGTGCTACCATGCCCAGCTAATTTTTTTGGATTTGTAGTAAAGACAGGGTTTCACCATGTTGGCCAGGCTGGTCTTGAACTCCTGACCACAAATGATCCGCCTGCCTTGGCCTCCCGAAGTGCTAGGATTGTAGGTGTGAGCCACTATGCCCAGCCTACTAAAGTAAAAATTGCTAGTAGCACAGATCAGTTGCAGTGACTCAGGAAATCGCAATGAAACTGCTCGAGTGAGGAGCTGTCATACTCTTTTCTAGTCGTATCTTTTCCCTAGTTTTTGCCTTCAACAAAAACTTGTGATTTAGCTTGAACTTCCCTCTTCTAACTAGATGTGAGCATGTTGGTAAGGTCTCTAACTTTTCCCTGTTTTGGGGACAAAGGTCCAGTGATGGCGCCTTCCTGGCCATTTCTTCCACGGACGGTTACTGCTCGTTTGTCACATTTGAGAAAGATGAACTTGGAATTCCTTTGAAAGAGAAGCCAGTTTTGAGCATGAGAACTCCTGATACAGCAAAGAAAACCAAGAGTCAGACACCTCGAGGGTCTTCGCCAGGACCCAGACTGGTAGAGGGAACCCCTGCCAGCAGAACCCAAGACTCCAGCAGCCCCAGCACGACCCCCCCACAGGCCAGACAGGCCCCAGCCCCAGCAGCCATCAGGGACTCTCCCTCCGTCATCCCTGCTGTCAAAAGCTTCTTGCGTGGGCCTTCGGAGGAGAAGAGCTTGAAGCCTAGTAGTCAAAACACAAAAGCCCATCCATCCCGGAGGGTCACTCTGAACACACTGCAAGCCTGGAGCAAGACAACGCCCCGGTAAGAACTTGTTGGAACCAGAAATTGTCATTGCAAAATGAAACATGAAATGCAAACAGAACACTCCCAACCTGCGGAGGTGGAATTTCAGGCAGCGAATACTTCATACCAGTAGGTTGCCAGAGAGATTTTTTTTTTTTTTTTTTTTTTTTTTTGAGATGGAGTTTTGCTCTTGTTGCCCAGGTTGGAGTGCAATGGTGCTATCTCAGCTCACTGCAACCTCCACCTGCCAGGTTCAAGCGATTCTCCTGCTTCAGCCTCCTGAGTAGCTGGGATTACAGGCATGCGCCACCATGCCTGGCTAGTTTTTTATTTTTAGTAGAGATGGAGTTTTTCCATGTTGGTCAGGCTTGTCTTGAACTCCCAATCTCTGGTTATCCGCCTGCTGTGGCCTCCTAAAGTACTGGGATTACAGGTGTGAGCCACCTTGCCCGCCGCCAGAGAGATACTTACCTTCAAATCCAAGAGTGTCATTTCTTGCATACAGGCCTCTGTCTGTTCCTCCATTTCCTGCCTGTCACGTAAAGCCCAGGCTCCTAGGCACACACACGGACTGTGATTTGGTTGCAGCCTGTCGTCCAGGAAGGACTGTGGCCATTCTCTCCTCAGTCCGTGGCCTTCATCTCTAGCCCAGCCCTGAATGCCATCTTCCCAGAGCACACTCTACCCTTTGAGGTCTCTGTCCTTCCCTTCCCTGGGGGAAGCCCTGATCATCTGTTCCTCTTGGTGACTCCGGGAGTCTCCTGAAAGACCCCTTTGAATGTACCCTCTCTGTTTGCAGTCTTTGCGGCCCGTCAGCCCTTCCCTTGTCACCACACATCGCATTCCATAGCAGGTGCTTCGATGCTTCAGTTTCCCCTGCTGGCTATGAGCCCCAGGAACAGGAAGTGGGTCCCAATTTTTATTTCTGCTGTCCTGCCCAGGACGTAGGCAGTTCCAGGAGTGTCTTTCTGAGACCACGTTTGATGTTTCCAGCAGCCTGGCCCATGAGAAACGGGGATCTTAATCTGATAACAGGCAGTCCCCAGGGAGGTGCGGAGTTGTTTTGTCCGTGCTCATGTCAGTGTGGCTGGCATCCTGTGTCGGCTACTCCTGCTGGATACAGAGCTGCTTAGCAGGTCCTTCTGCCATCAGGCAGTGCAGCCTTCCGTTGCCTTCCTTCCCTTGCAGCTGATGTCCAGTTACCCCTCTGACCTTGTATAGTTCCTTCTCCATTAAGCCCTGTGACCCCCAGCCTTCCACATCAACTGAGTCAGGAGGAGGGTTGTGGCGGGGGGACGCAGAGGGGAGTGCTGGGGATGGCGAGCTAGACAAGTGCCCTATGCCTGTCAGCCTCACCTGTGTGCACAGGTCTTCATTCGCAAGTTCACAATATGTGTATGGATCACTAATTTTACCGCTCTCTTAAAATCTCTCTTTCTGCAGATTAGCAATGTATTTTAAAATTTTTCTGTTTCTTTTTAGGTGATAGTATTCCTTGAACTGTTTTTGGTATTAAATTATTTTCCCCCTCTTAATTTCTTCTGATTTATTTACCAAGCTTCTGGAAGTTGTAATCTTTTTTTTTTTTTTTTTTTTGAGACGGAGTTTCACTCTTGTTGCCCAGGTTGGAGTGCAATGGCGCAATCTCAGCTCACCACAACCTCCGCCTCCCCAGTACAAGTGATTCTCCTGCCTCAGCCTCCCGAGTAGCTGGGATGATAGGCACGCACCACCACGCCCAGCTAATTTTGTATTTTTATAGAGATGGGGTTTCACCGTGTTGCCCAGGCTGGTCTCAAACTCCTGACCTCAAGTGATCTGCCTGCCTCAGCCTCCCAAAGTACTAGGATTACAGGTTTGAGCCACCGTGCGTGGCCTGTAATCTTTTAAAAACAAGAATAGTTGTTGAAAATTAAGACTCTGGGTATTTATTTATTTATTCATTCATTCATTCATTTAAGACAGGGTCTTGCTGTGTGGCCCAGGCTGGAGTGCGGTAGTGCGCTCTCAGCTCACTGCAACCTCTGCCTCCTGGGCTCTAGTAATTCTTCTGCCTCATCCTCTCAAGTAGCTGGGATTATAGGCTCCTGCCACCATGCCTGGCTAATTTTTTGTATTTTTAGTAGAGATGGGATTTTGCCATGTTGGCCAGGCTGGTTGCAAACTCCTGACCTCAAGTGATCTGCCCACCTCAGCCTCCCAAAATTCTGGGATTATAGGCATGAGCCACCTTGCCTGGCCCAAGACTCTGGATTTTTAAAAAGTATTATCTGTGTTTTGGTGCTTTTCATAGATAGAAACCATACCTACACAGCAGCCAGCAGAGTGTTCACAGGACCGTGGGGAATTAACAACACAGGTTTTGAAACTTTGAGACGACTGGTTATGGTTTCAGTTGACTGTCATAAATGTGATGCTTTCACTTACTACACGGATGTAATCCTCAGTTATTAAACAAGTGGGCACATCTCACTACTTAATGCCGTGAACCACATGTTCAGCTGAAAATTTAAGTATTTCCTTTGGTAGATTTGAAAGTTAGTATAATCATAAACAATTCCTGTGATACTAATGAGCCATGCACCCCTCTACTTTTTTTTTTTTTAATTAAGGAGAATAAACTTAACACCCTTAAAGACAGACACTCCACCAAATTCTGTACCAACCAGTGTAATTTCCATCCGTTCTACAGAAGAAATTCAGTCAGGTAAGTGATACTGTTACTGGTTTAACGTAATTAAAGGTAGAATAGCTTTTCTTTTGTTCTTTTGGAAATTAATGCTATCTAATTTTAAGTCAGTTCTGAGAGAGCAAGGATCATCTTATTGCAACCATTGTTTAAACCCACTGGCTGCCTGTTGAGGCCTCAGCAGGGAGACCACCTGGCCAGTGAGAGCTCCTGGTGAGCCAGGTAGTGGGTTCCGTAGGAGACCGTTTAGATCAGGTTTCTCTACCTGATGACTGTTGACCTTTTGGGCCAGGTAATTCTTTGTTGTGGGGGACTGTGCTGTGTATTATAGGATGTTCAGCAGCAGCCCTGGGTGCTATTTCTTGCCCATGACGTTCTAAAATGTCACCAGACATTGCCCACTCTCCCTTGAGAGGCAAAATCGCCCCTGTTTGAGAACCACTGTACAGATCCTTCCTTGGTATCAGTATAGGATCTTCCATGTCTTGGCTCTGTATTGTCAGCCCTGGGCTTCCAGAATTCTTCATTTATTTCCCAACCTTATGTTTGTTAATGTTGCAGAGACGCCTGGAGATGCTCAGGGCAGTCCCCTAGAGCTAAAGCGGCCCAGACTCGATGAAAACAAAGGAGACATGGAAAGTCCGGACCCTTGATGGGACCTTGGCTTCTGCTGGAAGCCTGCCAGGCCCCCATCTGTGCAGGGAGGTGGCGAAGCTGGAGATGCCTGAGACCAGGGCTTCCGTGGAGTGGGACAGGCACTAACAGAAGTGGCGTGTGTACTGAATTTTCTCCAGAAATATAGTGTATTCAATATCCATTTTTAACTTGGAGACGTGAATGTTTTAATATAGTAAATCCTCTGGTGGATGAGTTTCTGAACCTGGAGCAGTTCAACGTTATCCAGTGTGAAAATGTGTGAGTCCTCCCTGGCGTCGTCGTGAAAGTGCACACGCTTCATGGAGGGACTCCGTTTAAATTAGAATTAGGGAGATGAGAAAGTAATGAGATTTCACTCTGTTGCATTTTAGAGTATTTGAAGTGATTGTTAGATTTCACTTCTAAGAAGGTGATTGATTAAACTTTGGAAGGTGGTTGTGTTTGTTTTTGTGCTCATTCTGTTAAAGTTCGTAACTAAATGAAGTGAAAAAGATAGGAATCACCCATCATCTTCCCACCAGAAGTAACCCTTGTTAATGTTGTAGTACATTTCCTTAGCATTTTTATGAATCTATTCTAAAGAGAGAGTTGAGATTTTATTTCATATACAATTTGGTATCTCAATAGGTTTTTTACACTGGGTTTTCAAAGCAAAAAAAGTATCTTTTTTGTTTTTTGAGACAGGGTCTTGCTCTGTTGCCCATGGTGGAGTGCAGTGGCGCTATCTGGCTCACTGCAGTGTAGCCTCAACCTCCTGGGCTCAAGCGATCCTTCCAACTCAGCCTTCTGAGTAGCTGGGACTGCAGGCAGGTGCCACCATGCCATGCTAATTTATACACACACACACACACACACACACCTGATCTATATATACATATTTTTTCCTTTTTTTTTTAAATAGAGTCTCACTCTGTCACCCCAGGCCGGAGTGCAGTGGCACAATCTCAGCTCACTGCAACCTCCACCTCCTGGGTTCAAGCGATTCTCCTGCCTCAGCCTCCCAAGTAGCTGGGATTACAGGCATGTGCCACCACGCCCGGCTAGTCATTTGTATTTTAGTAGAGATGGGGTTTCACCACGTTGGCCAGGATGATCTCAATCTCCTGACCTCGTGATCCACTTGCCCAGGCTTCCCACAGTGCTGGGATTACAGGTGTGAGCCACTGTACCTGGCCGGAGGCACCTTTTTAACTCAGGTCAGCAGCAACAAAGAAAATAATTGGAAAGAAGCATCACTTTATTGCTTAATTCACAGCCTGGTAAACCAGAGAGTCTGCCTACCTTTTAGATGGAAGGTGGTAACCTAGACATAATTTACAGTGTGGAGAAGGGAAAGGTGAACACATGTATACTTGTAATAATGCAGGTGTGGCTCACATTCAAGATGAAAAGGTATTAAAATGTTAAATGATATGTTTGTTTTTGGAGACACCATCTTGCTCTATCACCCAGGCTGGCATGCAGTGGCCTGAAGATGGCTCACTGCACCCTTGACCTCCTGGGCGTAAGAGGTCCTCAAGCCTAAGCCTCCTGAGACCACAGGTGTACACAACTGTACCTGGCTAATTTTTCAAACCTTTTTTGTAGGGATGGGGCTCTTGCCGTGTTGTCCAGGCTGTTTTCGGACTCCTAGGGCTCCAGTAATCCTCCTTCCTCAGCCTCCCAAAGTGTTGTGATTACAGGTGTGAGACACCATGCCTGGTCAAATGGCGTCTGTTTTGATGGGTGGCTTTCTTTTTTTTTTTTGGAGATGGAGTCTCACCCTGTCGCCCAGGCTGTAGTGCGGTGACTCGATCTTGCCTCACTGCAACCTCTGCCTCCCGGTTCAAGCAATTCTCCTGCCTCAGCCTCCCAAGTAGCTGGGACTACAGGCACACGCTGCCACGCCCGGCTAACTTTTTGTATTTTAGTAGAGACAGGGCTTCACTGTGTTGCCCAGGCTGGTCTCAAACTCCTGAGCTCAGGCAATCCACCCACCTCGGCTTCCCAAAGTGCTGGGATTACAGGCGTGAGCCATCACACCTGGCCCGATGGGTGGCTTTCAACTGTAGCTGTATATTGAAATCACCCAAGAGCTGACAAACACGCCAGAGCCTGGTTCCTGCTCCGGATAGTCTGGCCTAATGGGCCTGGGGCGTGGTGTGGACATTAGGCTTCCTTAAAGCTCCTGGAGTAATTCTGACACACGGCCAAGATTGAGAACTCTAAGAGAAAACACTTCCTGTATGCAGTCTGTTCTGGTTAAATACATTTCCAGTGAAAGCATTTTCTTGATGATCTCTCCCCCATCACTGATTGACATGCTCCTTTACTGGGGCCTCTGGACTGAAGGACCGAATACAGGAGGTACCGTCAGCTCTTCTGAGAAGAGACAGCTTTCAGAGTCATGTGGCTGGCGTGAGGTGTGGTTTGCAGTGTTGATCCTGCGCAGACAGATGAATGACCGTGGGTCCCCTGTCTTCAGTGAGCAGCCTGCTTCCTAGGTGCAGCGGCTCACACCGTAGTTCTTGCGCTTTGGGAGGCTGAGGAAGGCAGATCACTTGAGGTCAGGAGTTTGAGACCAGCCTGGCCAACATCTTGGACCTCTGTGTCTACTAAAAATACAAAAATTAGCTAGGCCGTCGGTGGTCACACTTGTAATTGCAGCTACTCAGGAGGCTCAGGCACGAGAATTGCTTGAATCAGGGAGATGGAAGTTGCAGTGAGCTAAGATGTCACCACTGCACTCCAGCCTGGGCGACAGTGAGACTGCATCTCAAAAACAAAAAATATTAGGTTTAAGAAATCTGTTCCTTGTGCAATGACCATGGGAGTCAGCCTGAAGTGCGCATTTATTGAAAGATGGCTCGCCTGTTAGCCATCATCCTTAAATATAGATCAAAATTGGCAATAAAAGACCAAGTAAAGTCACCTCAGTGTCAGTCTAAAACTGCCTGTGACCATGTGGGCAGTGTATTGGAAAAGGCTTTGCAAAGGGAGCCCAGCCTGCAGGTCGGACAGGGTTCCGCCTCACGGTGGCTGCTGTGTTTAAGCTTTCCCTGCTCTGGATCTGCACTTGGAGGGGCCTTGTGTTTTCAGCAGTGTCCCCGGAGGTCTCCAGCAATGCTCCTGTGGATATTAGTTCCTGCTGCTGTGGGTGCCTAGAAGAAAATCAGGCTCAGGCTTGGGGAGACTGCTTGGGAGAACTTGACCTGCGTCCCCTGGAATCTGGGATTGTGACAATATGTCGGGTGTTGGAAGGAAGAAAGCTGGAGAGGGTGAAGTCTCCCTTTCATGCAGAGGCATGTGTGGTGGGCAGGGGTACGCCGTGCCTCCTCTGGCTATCATGGAAAACCCAGCCCAGCCATCCTCGGTGGGTGTCCGGAGGGCCAGGGCCCTCTAGCAGGGAGAGGCAGGAGGATGTGCCTTGGGGCAGGGGAGAGCGTCTCCTGGGGTCCTTGTTTACTCTGTTTTTTTGAAAGTTTTTAGTTTATTAAGCTTCTCCTGAAAAACCCACAGCAGCCACAGGTAACACTATGGCAGCACCTTTACTCCTTCGGCTGTGATCCAGCCTCCAGCCCACTTTTGCCAGCGCCAACACTGGCCTTTGAGTCCCCGGCTCTCTTCACTCTGTCCTTGCGTTCCTTTCCTTGCTCTCTGAGGTCTTTTGCTTTTCACACAGGCATGTCTTGCCGGGCTACGTTTGCATTCCTTTGTCTCTGCAAAATCCAGGGAATCATCGATCATGCCAAGGCCAGTTGTTTTGCAAGACCAACAAAATGAGTTCTGAATCCAAATATGAAGATGACGTCTGGTGTGAGCTTGTACGTTCTGGCTAGCTTTTCCCGAATTTCTGTCTTAGGCCCTGTTGCCTTCCTGGGGGAAGGACATCAATGACTATCTGTTGCCTCTGGAGTTGTTGGTTGGTCATGAACTTTCTAGTGTGGATGGTTATGTGTTGTTCATGATGGCGGCCTATCCTCAGACAGCCAGGGAGGGAAAAGAGCCTTTTTTTTTTTTTTTCTTTACTGAAAGCACTCACATCTGTGTAACGATGCCCTTGGCCCTCCTTACCTAAATAGTCGTCAGTGTTCACTTAAACAACATAGGTCCCGAGTCCTTCGCTCTGGAAACATCCAGTGGGGAGAGGAAGGAGGAGGAGGATGAACTGCTTCAGCCCTTTCTTCCCCAGCTGGGGATCTCCCAGGCCCCCTGCGGCTTCCCTGGTTATTTGGCCACAATCCGGCCTTGGGAGTGTGTGTGTGTAGGAGGCAGACCTGGGACAAATTCCTTCATGGATCTGTGCCTGTTTCTTCACCAGAACAACTCTCTTTGCAGCTAGAAAACTTTGGCCTTGGATTGCTTTGGTAGGGGAGAGGGGTAAGAGAAAATGCAGGGGGGTCATCCACACAGAAACGAGGAACGGAGTCAACTCGGCTGGAAGTTGAGCCAGATCCCACTTCCCTTGCCTAGCCTATGGAAGTAACAGACACTTGCTTTCATGCGCAAATTCTCAGTGGCCACTGGGGGTCACTGTCCCCACTGAATCCACTCCGCAGTTGTGCCTCCGAGGCCTGAAGGCCCCATCCCGCTGCCCCACCTCCTCTAAGTGATCCTGTTTCTGTCCAGTCTTGGGAGCAGAGTGGCCTTAGACACTGGCTTCCGCCCCTGGTGGCCAGACCCAGAGTGGAGTATTGTTGAGCAGACAGGGGTGGGAGAGGATGATGAAAGCAGTATGTGAATGTCCATACCATTCATTCATTCATTTATTCATTCAATAAATGTCTATCAGATGTCCTCTGGGTACCAGAGGACATATCGGGAACAAACCAGACACAAGCCACTGCCCTCGTGGGGCCTACCTCCTGGCTCAGGGAGACCATCGGGAACATAAGTAAGTATAGGGAAAACAGAATGGTGAGGAGCCCTGGGAGAGCTGGGTTGGACACAGGGTTGCATCCTGGCGCGAGGAGAGCCGAACTGAGAAGGTCGAGAGGCAACGTAAGAGAGGGAGGAAGGGAAAGTGATCGGGTCGGGTGTTCTAGATTTTTCTAGAAGCAGGACTGCCTTGTCATCTAGGGTATCCGGTGTGTTCTCTGGGCAGGCCGGGTATTTTGGGGTCCCCCAGTGCTTTCCCGCTTGTCATGCAGCCCCAGGTTGGCTGGAGTTGCCCTGTCCATCACCCTGCCTCCCTGTCGCCCTCGCCTTGGGAGTTGACCTGATGCCAGCCTGTGTGCAGCCTCTGGAAATGCGGTTGGGTGGCCCTCTGTCTCTGGCCTGGCCCTTGTCCCAGACTGAAGGCAGAGCCACGTGTCATCTAGCTGTTACCTTCCATGTCCTGCTTTTAGTAGATTTTGTGGTGGTTTTAACCACTCGGTTGTGAGAGGTGGTGGTTGCGGAGGGCACTTTCTTCTGCTGGCCTCTGCACCTGACGTCCTGCCTTGGTAGAGACAAGGTCAGCATGGAG